CTTGTACACAATCTTCGCGCCCGTCAAGTGTCCCCTCACTGCCAATAAATACTCGTTTGATCTGAAGGACAGGAGTTTGCCTGATGTGGGGGATGTGTTCAAGAAGGTCCTGGAGGTAAGATAAATGCCACAAATGACTACTGACCGTATTATCAATAATCATCTCTAAATGACGTGACTTTAGGGCGAATTTGAAGCGAACGGTACTTATATAAACTCGAAGACCGGACAAGTCTATGGCTGTCTTTACGGCAAATTTGAAGTGAAATTATAAACTTAATTAATGTATCCCTTTAAATAAAAATTAAGTTCCTAACCACCTGGTTATTATTTTATATTACAAAAAAATATTGTTTTTAATAATATGTTATCTTTTAAATTATAAACTTATATTGATAATATATGGTAACATAATTAAAATTATTTTCATATCCTGCTATTACTGCATACAGTATCACCAAATAGGACTTTACATATGTTTATTAACATTAAAATTATAGGATAATAAAATATAAAATTAATTTCAATAGCAATATGACAAAATTATTGAATCCACAAAATTATATCAGTAAATTATAAACAACCATATGTTTTGTTTCATGATATAATACATTGTGAAATAATATTATAACTAAAAACAAAATAAAGTTATTATATTTTATTATCAATAAGAATTATGTTATTTTAGCCAAATAATTGATATTTCTAAGTAACATTTAAATAATACTTTAAATAAGATAGAATTATAACTTTATTTGGTTTATCTTGAAATATTATTTTAGTTGATCCTTTATATGAATTATAAATTTAATATCATTTTATTATTATATCATATTAAAAAATAATTTTTTAAAGTTATTAGACTTTGTTCACTGTTAAGGATATTTAAATTATATTATGTCATTGTTTATCGGTTTAATCTATTTCACTAAGTATGTGCATATGAACTCAAAATATGAAACATGATTTAGAAACAAACATTTATATAATAATAATTGTTTTTATTAGATGAGTTTATTAGTATAAGTTTGTATGTGTTCACCTAAACTGAATTTATTTATTTATTAACTTCAACAAAGTGATTAAAATTCATATTTCATATTATGAGTTAAGATATACGATAGTAAAGAGTATGAAAATCAACTAAATTATACAAAAATGTCATTTTAGGGATCATTTGAGGCGAACGGCACTTATCTGAACTCGAAAACGGGACAAATCTATGGCTGCATTTACGGCAAATTTGATATTAAATTACCTTGAATTGTTTCATTTATTACATTTTGCAATATATATGATATTAGAATTTTAAAATGTAAACTATGGTTATGGAAAATTAAAATATTTCAATATTTTATAATTAAAAATTACCACTGTTTTGACATAATCTTATTATAATTTTATATTATAGTGTAAATTACAATTTTTAAAAATGTTTGAATGGAATTATATTTAATATTTAGTTTTGAAATAATATGAGATGAGTTGTGTTACTTTCTATTAATTATTATAATAAATTTAAAGTGACTGAATTTTATAATTTTCCAATTAAAATTAATATACTTAAAATCATTCCATTAAATATGATATATGCATAAAAATTCTGAGTAGAGTAATTGCCATTAATATTAAAACTACACTACACATAAACTATATAAACAAGGTTTCAACAATTTGACAACAAAATTAAATTTCTAACAATATTGAAATACTACAAAAAATCAAGATGATAAAAGTTGTAATTTTATCAAAATTATTGATAAAACCTCTTCTTTTGGTCCATATTTCCCGTGACTATAGTCTCGATGTAATCGCAATCACAGATCAGTTTGTTTTCTATACAAAATAATTTACAAATTAATATAATGTGAAATTGCAGCAGGTTCATAACTAACGGCTTATTAAATTAGGAAATTACAGATATTTAAAGTTATAATATTTAAATACAAATATTTACAACAATTTATACAACAAATTAAAATGAAATTGGTTGTCATTTTATTGTTTTCTATACTAAATGTAATGAATTGTAAGCTTGAATGGAGAGATTGTGGTCCACCCGATGCTATCCTTAAAGTCAATGACATATCTATAGATCCAGATCCTATTGTATATTTGGGTATGTTCAATCAATACCATGTTAATTTAGTTTTGTAATAACTTTATTAAATTAAATCTATTAAAGGCAAGG